GGGGGTATGTGACGAGTGGGGGCGGGGCCGAGTGCCGTGGGAAAGGAGCGAGGCCGGTGGAGTAATTGATAATAAGCAACACCTGCACCACTCACCGGTCTCGAGTCCCACGGAGGAGCTCCGGAAGGATAAAAGGAGGAGCTACGACAGTGAAAGACGAGAGAGGACCAGGCCTGGATTTTATTTTGTGTTTTGTGTGCGGCAGTCATCCGCGAGGGGCTGCCGCTTTACTTTCATTTTGTGTTTATTTTATTAAAGTCCTTAAAATGTTCGCCAGTTCCCGCCTCCTTTTTCCCGTGACTACGAACTGTGTTACACTGACAAAATGGGAATCTATTAAAATTCCTTTTTCACTATTAATCTAATATCTATTCTATTAATATTCCTATTCCTTGTGCTTTAATGGTGTACTGTACTTTGTATTAAAATAATTTTTGTTTATTCTTTCATAAATTTCTTTCATTCAGTTTTTTTTTTAAATAATAACAAAATTCAGTATAAATAATTCCAGCTTAAAAATAAACATTTTTAATATTTAGTTATGCATGACCATGCCTTAATTTTGCTGAAATACATTTAGGCAGTCATATGTCTTAAATTTCGTCCATCTTCCCCCGGATCACCTGTGTCTCCTTTTGGCCCAGGTTGACTTGGTTGACCTGGCAGTCCCTGAAATATTAAAAGACCACTGATAGGATGTAGCGGGAATACAAACTACAACGATTCGCAGCATCAGATAACAAATCTGTGAACTCACTCTTAAACCTCTCTCCCCTGATTTACCCGGCAACCCTGATTCACCCTGAGAGACAAGAGAAACAGAGAAACATTACATACAAAACACAAACATACTCACAAATACAGGAATGATGAAAAAAAAAAACTCACTGGAGTGTCATCCTCTCCTTTGTCTCCTTTTAGTCCCTAAAGAAACAAAATAACACATCGGACTTCCTGACATTAGCTATCTTATTTCTGTCAATTATTCACTAAAAAAAATTACAGTGTCAAGAATGACAATACAATTCCATATTTCAGAAGCCACCAAAGCAAATACAGTAGCTTTAAGGAAGTGTGGAGCAGAATCTAAAGACAAGGAAGATATATACCCATTACCTTGACTACTTGTTACTTCGGTGAGAAAGAAAGATGTTAGAAGAAAAACAAGAAAGAGTTCAATGTTAAACAAGCATTGAATAAATCTCATTACCAAAGCAGATTATTTATAAGGCTAAAGTATAAAGAGTAGTAACTTTCAAAACACCTGATATGTTAAGGGTGATGTATCATAGACACACTTAAAATGTTAGATGATGAGCATTAGTTGCAGATGAAGTTGTTAGAAGCAGCTTTTAGTAGAGGCCTGTGTTCATGTATAAATGGGTGCAGACTCTCACATCTTTCCCTCTGGGGCCCATGTGCCCCTGTGGACCAGTACTGCCTGCCTCCCCTCTCTCTCCCGAGTCACCTTGACTGCTTCTTCAGGCCAATGCTGAGTCATTTCCATGAACATATGCTCTGGAGTCACTGGAGCGAGAGAGACTGTTTTAGGGTTTACTTTACCTTCACACCAGGTTTTCCAGACAATCCAGTGAGACCCTGTTTAAATAAATAAGCAGTATGTTAAATATTATGACCAGGGGTGGACTGGGGCTAAAAAGTGGCCCTGGACTTTCTGACACAGAGCGGCCCACCACACCCGGTCCGCAACACCATAAACCCACCACCAGCTCATTATACACAGAGCAATTTTAACACCACTAACTAACATAAAAATATAACATAATACAGAAATATAATTGTTTTTATTTATTTTATTGAAATGTATATCATTGACATTAATGAATGACTGGCATACTACTTTACTAGTCCATATACCAATGTTCTACTTTGGGCTGAAAGACTTGGAATGTAGTGCTGAATGTGGATTGTTTTTATGGTGCCTTTCTATTCGTCTTATATTTGTCCTTTTGCAGGAGCTTGACATCTCCTGTCATTTTATTGAATAGAGCTCCAATTGTGGAAAAGAGTATAAAAATTCTTACGATGATGAAAAATACAGTAATATTGTGAAATATATAATGCTACAATTTAAAATAGCTCTTTTCTATGTGAATACATGTTAAAATTTACATTTCTGATTATTATCAATGTTGAAAACAATTGTGTTGCCCAAAATGTGATACATTTCCAATCAGTCTGGGGTAAGATTAAAAATATATAAATTAATACTTTTATTCAACAAGGTTGCATTAAATTGCTTTGAGTGAAGTGAAATGACGTGACATGTGGCCAAGTATGGTGACCCATACTCGGAATTAGTGCTCTGCATTTATCCCATCCAAAGTGCACACACACAGCAGTGAACACACACACACCGTGAACACACACCCGGAGCAGTGGGCAGCCATTTATGCTGCGGCACCCAGGGAGCAGTTGGGGGTTCGGTGCCTTGCTCAAGGGCACCTCAGTTGTGGTATTGAAGGTGGGAGAGACCGCTGTACATTCACTCCCCCCACCTACAATCCCTGCCGGTGCGAGACTTGAACCCGCAACCTTTGGGTTACGAGTCCGACTCTCTAACCATTAGGCCACGACTTAAGTGACAGTAAAAGATTTATACTTATTACAAATTATTTATATTTCAAATAAATGCTGTTCTTTAACTTTGTATTCATCAAATAATCCTGAAAATGTTAAAGTATCACAGTTTCCAAAAAAAAAAAAAGTTTTTAGCACTGATAATAATAAGAACCATTATTAATAATTGAGCACAAATAATAACTGATAATAATTAAGCAGCAAATCAGCATATTAGAATGATTTCTGAAGGATCATGATTCATGTGACATTGAAGACTGGAGTATACTGAAAATTCAGCTTTGATCACAGAAATAAATTACATTTTAAAATATCTTAAAAAAAAACACTTTTAAATGTAATATTTCATAATAGTGTTTTTACTGTATTTTTGATCAGATAAATTCAGCCTTCTTTCAAAAAATAAATAAAGTCTTAATTACTTCAAACTTTCGACCGCAAGTGTGTATATAAAATAATGCATGTGAACTAATAAGCAAGTAATATTTTGATTATAATATACTGTATATCCTAATCACGGCAATTGAAAACGAAAATCTTCAGATTTACAATGTTCTTGTATAACTTTGAGAATAATATTTTAGAGTTTTCTGAAACATTTTCTTAGACATGTGAAATTACAGAAGAAAGCCTGGATAGATAAACATTCACTCTTATCTCATGTCTGCTGAAAACTGCTACGTTATGTTTCTATGTAGGCTACATGTGACGAATAAAGCAAATGGCATTGAAATCAGAGTAATTCGAAAAAGCCAGTAGTAGTTTGCATCCCTGAAAATTAATGTCTGTCGTCATTTAATATTTTTTTTATCGTAAACAGTTGGCAAATATTGCTGAATTGTCTCGTCATGTTTAGCTGCTTATCTTACCTCAGCTCGCATTCAAGCAGCTCAGCTTCTGTGAACAGTAAATCCAGCCTTCTTCGATTTGATTGGCTATTTCAAACATTTTGACATTGACGAGCGCTTTTGAGCCGCTGCACTGAGCTAGAGCACACTAAATTAATTAGAATTTTTGAGTCAAGTGGGACGGGTGGGACATTCGTCTGGGCCGATGGACGGATATAGGCTACGTACACATAATATAATTCATTCTTTATATATATTTACACAATGGGCCGGCCCGCATTGTACAGCGCCCACCGGGAAAACTACCGGTGCTCCAGATGGCCAGTCCGCCACTGATTATGACTACTACAACAGCAGGTGATTCTGTATTTCAGTTATGCAGAACCAAAGCCTAAAACTGAAGCTTTACCTTAATACTTCTACTGCCTAAGAAACTCTGGCATTTCCATATGGAAATGCAAATCTAGTTTATCATGAAGACAAACTTACCCGATCACCCTGGTCCCCTTTAGGTCCGGGTTGGCCAGGCTCTCCTGCTCCAGGGGCACCCTGTGGGATAAATTAGAAAGGTCCAATCATACAGTTTCACAATTTCAGATGTACCTTGAAATTAATTAATAATAATTATAAAAACTTTTATTTCACATGTATGTGTGATCACCGTAAGTAAACTCAAATAAGTATAATTTCCATTTTAAAATATCCTCACTACAAACATTTCCTAGATGGACACCTTCATTCATTCACAAAACTCACCCTTTCCCCTTTTTGTCCTGCATCACCTTTAGCACCATCAGGACCTGGGAGGCCCCTTTCACCCTAAAGGAAGAAAAAGAAGAGTTAAAATAGTTTTGAATGGAACTTCAGCAGAAAAAAAAAACAGATTTGAGTGGGTCTGTACCATTTGAATGTCAATATAAAAATGGACTTAACAGAAATACTGTTATCTGACATAGTCTCTGCATTGTTCTCAAAAGTCATACCCGCTCTCCTTTCTTCCCAAATGAACCTGGACAGTCCTAAAAAAGCCACAGTGAACAATGTCAGGAGTACCATTACAAATGAATGAAATGTTCATATGAATTTGAAAACATGAAAATTCTGATCTTACACAGCTTCCTGGTTCCCCTTTTTCACCCTCAGCACCCTTAAAGCAAACAGAGATACATAAATAAAGATATATATATATATATAGCACAAAATAAACTGAAGTAGATATCTGAGAATAATGCTGTTTGTTAAGCTGAAATCTTAATTTACATTCTCTCCAGGAAAGCCACTGCTCCCTGGCAATCCCTGAAGGCACATATAAATAATTTACAACATGCATGTACACTCGTGCATTTTCACATGGCTTGTGACTTATCATGGCTTGTGCAGCCACTCACCCTCAGTCCTTGAGGTCCAGGGGGGCATGCTGAACCTTTATCTCCCTAGCATACAAAAAAAAATCAGACATAAACAAGCACAGCATTACTCACACCTCTCTAATAAGAATATACATCAATGTTTTATGTAGCTTAGGGGCACACCTTGTCTCCTGCCTGACCTGGAAGGCCTCTGTCTCCCTAAAAAAAAACAGAATCATACCAAAGGATGATATCAAAACAAAATCAAACTCATTTAAATAGTTAAACTGTTGTACAATCATTGTTAAAAATTACTCAAACAACCTAGCACACCTTAATATGCTTCAAAATAAGCCTGGATAAACACTAAAGAACACAAGGGATATAGTACAAATCTAGATACATTCATACAGAAATGCTTCAGATCATGCATAGGCAAATAGTCACCTTGGCTCCATCTGAACCAGGTGGTCCAGTCTGTCCTCGATCACCCTGAAATAAACAACATCAACTGATTCATAGATTATGCATTCAGAAAGTTTGTTCATTGTACCTTGATGACACAAGCCACAATAAAGTCATACACTGACTTCTTTTCTTTACCTTACTTCCAATTTCCCCAGGAGGTCCTCGGGGACCCTGAAACAAAAATGCATGAATAAAAGAAGAATGAGGAGGAAGGTTAGAGTGAGCATGAAATATATTAATGAAAGCATTTTATACCCGATCACCAGGGTCTCTCCGGTGTTTCCTTGGGTGCCTGGTTTACCCTCAATACTCTCACCCTGCAAGACAATCACACAAACAGGCCAGGCTAAGAAAATGCACACATTTTACAAAATACAAACAAAAAATAGCTTACAAGCAGTGTTGGGGAAAGTTACTTTTAAAAGTAATGCATTACAATATTGCGTTACTCCCTAAAAAAGTAACTAATTACATTACTTAGTTACTTTTTATGGAAAGTAATGTATTACATTACTTTTGCGTTACTTTCGCGTTACTTTTTAAATATGAGCAGGGCTTGATTGTTTTTAATATAAGAAGTTCTATTTATAGCAAATGTAAAAGCCCTTTCACACCAAAAAGTGTAATGAATAAACATTTCCTGAAGGAAATGTAAATTCACATCTGTACAGTAGAACGCAGGAGAAGAAACACTCTTCAGCAATAAAAAAACAATGAAGCACAATTGTTAGTTTATCTAAAGTCATTTTTGCTTATTAGTATGGTTGAACTGGATCATCAAAGGTCAGCAGCAAAGACATTGGTTAATAAAATGGGATTAGATACATTTGTGTTATTTAACATATTTAATTATTTGAGTTTGCATTTCACCGTTTTAATTCATTTTGATGAATACTAAATCTGTTTTTCTTGTAAATTAAAAAAGAAATGCATTACTTTACTAGTTACTTTAAAAAAGTAATCTGATTACGTAACTCGCGTTACTTGTAATGCATTACCCCCAACACTGCTTACAAGCAATGTAAAAAAAAATAATGGCAGAAAAAAACATACAGATTCTCCTTTGGCTCCTTTTTGACCAGTCAGTCCTCGTGGGCCCTGAGGACCAGACGGTCCAGGACTTCCCTGAAAATACACACAAATACCATTCAGTGCATGTGATAAAAACTCAAAAACACACAGTGAAGTACACACACAACCAATTTATAGCAGCACTCACACAGAAACACATATACACACATTAACATCCATTTACACTGCCACTTTGTCATGAATAATGGAGGCACTCACAGGTTCACCAGCATCTCCTTTAGCAGCTACCCCACTGCCCACTCCGGGAGGACCCTGTTAATCGGAATAAGACAGAAGAACACATTTATGTTCACGAAATGTGACCGATTGTCTTCATAGATTGTATTAGTATGCCATCAGAGAGTTCTCACGGTACATTAGATTACTTTGCTCTTGCTGAATCCTTACACAACATGGGATGTTTTAATGAAATATTAGAGTACTTGCTTCTCCACATCAAGAAATAACGGATTATTGCTTTTAAATTCCCTAGAAGTGTATAAAAAATTAATTTCATTTATATCAGTGGTGTGTGGTGAACTTCTGAAATTAGGCAAATTTTTATTTACCAGTGTAAATTTATGTTCCATCAGATGTTTACATGGTTTCTGGGTTCAAGGTATATGAAAGACCATGTAACCTACACTTATTATCAACTTGCAATCAATACAATAATATTTCTGCACGTTTAATAACCTATGCTGAAAAATAGACAAAAACATATTTCATGTGGTAACATCTAAATTAATTGAGTTTATTAAAATCCAAAAATATTATTTAATATTAATATTACTGAATCAGCCTAAACATGCTTGGTTATCGTTACTCTAAATTATAGTAGTTTACACACCATTTGATGTCTTATTTCATAATAATTGCTCAGTTTTATTGTTATACTGTCAATTATTTTCTCTCTCTCACTTTTTTTTTTTTTGAGAAGGTTTCCCTAACTTCTTTTAAAAAGAGTTTATATCAACTCACCCTCTCACCAGGGCTGCCTTTTTCACCCTGCAGGAAAATGAAATGAAACACAAAAACAGACAGGTACATGATTGGCTGAAGACATATCTGAAACTTCAAACAGTGAAAACAATGAATTTATTAATATTGTATAACAATATCGATCTAGATAAAAATGCCAGTGGCACTTTCACATATTTTCATAGCTGAGTTAAAATAAGAAAACAAATATGGCCTGTACCATATACAGGCGGTGAGATTATCTCTGTGTATTGACAGGTATTTGGTTCATTTAACTGCTGTGCATATGTTTTTAGATTATTTATATTTTGACCTCTAACCTCATACAATGCCTAAAGTGAGCTCATAAATGCATATATACATAAGTGTTGTGGTCTTCAACATGGCCATTCAGACCCTCAATATGCCCTTTTAGTCCACACCGCCATGAGTTCACAGCGAACTACCCTTCAGTCAAACAGGGCCAGGGACAGGGGCGTACATAATGCAAATTTAGAGACACCTTTAGCAATAAAGGCAATGGATTCTGACCTTAATAGAAAGTCCAGCAGTGCCTAGCAACCCAGGACGGCCATCCTGTCCAGGCAGACCTCGTGCACCTGGCTCTCCCTTCACCCCATCCACACCTAGACGACCAGGAGTGCCCTAAAAGGACAGAAAAACATAAAATGGGCAATGTAATAACCCTGTTGTTTACTTGATGACATGAAGTATTTGTACATGTATGAACTTCTTTCTTGTCATTGTGCAGGTGAAAGTGATTTTCTTGTGTTTCTTACAGGGATCCCTGGGATTCCTGGCTCTCCTTTGCGGCCCGGTAAACCTCCTCAAACAGCAGATCCAGGTTCCCCCTGTAGTAAATATTATTTCATTATCATTTCTTGAACCAAACAATTGAAGCTCTTGCTGTAAATGTTGTAAAAGTGACTGAATAAATAAAATGCTAAATCAAGACGTAGAGTAGAGCAGTTAGAGATTAATTTTATTATCACTCTTACCCTTTCACCTTTCTCTCCCTTTATTCCCTGAGGGCCTAGATTGCCTGGTTCTCCCTGTAAAACAAAAAAGACAAAACATTTAATAAGAGTTTGTGTATGTTTGCGTCTATGCATGTATGCAGTATGTTAATGAGTACTCACAGGGTCTCCTCTAACACCTGGTAATCCTTGACTGCCCTAAAACATCAGACAATGAACCCATGTTATAAATCAATTAATGAGATCTTTTTAGCTTTAATATTTTAAGTGGCACTGCACTAAAGAGGATTAAATTAAGAGATTAATTAAGAGATAAACTAAGAGATTAAGAGTTTTTAGCATGCATCCAGGCCTGATTATTATGCTATGTATATGGATGTGCATATATCCACAAATACCTGTTTTAACAGTACCATTTAATAAAATTACTCATGATTTCATTCTTACTGGTAATCCAACTGCACCAGAACGACCTGGAAGACCTGGACTGCCATCCAGTCCTGGGAAACCCTGAAAAAGATGAAGGGAAACAAATGGAGAAGGAGAGAGCATATCAACATTTTTGATCTGTGTGCATATGTGTGTATACATATTTAAGTGCCACTTACTCTCTCGCCTTTCTCTCCTCTCATTCCCAGACCACTGCCTGGTTGACCTGGTGGCCCCGCTGGCCCTCTGGGGCCCTCACGACCGGGTAAACCATCACGACCCTATTTAAAAAACACACATGCACACACACACACACACTATCAGACAGACATTTACTTGAAGATATAAAAAACAATGTTACTAAGCAATAATTAATGAATCCCATAGTGTAGATGAACAAATAGAGCTAAATGTGAATGCAGATTAATTTACAGGCTCGCCTTTTCTTCCATCCACTCCATCTCTGGCCCTCTCACCCTATACACACAAAAAGACACAATGTATAAACATTTCACCAGAAAATTACAGTAAATATCAACGCCAACAAGCCAACTTTGAGTTATTATATGCAACAACAATTATTACCTTCTGACCCGGTTCCCCTTTAGCACCCTGCAACAAAGAAACAGGTCAATCTTTTGTGAGGTGCAAGTAGATGTACATATGTAAACACAAATCTGTAATTATGTCTTGGTGTTTCTGTATATGTTTGTCTTTTCAGTACACACTTACCTTTGGACACTCTACAGTACAAGGCACTGGCTAAAAGGAGACAACAAATCGAAATCAGTCTTTACTGTCTTCTTTTCTTATCATTAAAGGCTATCAATGAGGTTTGAAACCACCATAATATATATATAAAAAAAAAAACTTCTGCAGTATCATGACTCAAGCAAGCATCGTAATAAAAATAAATGATGATACAACATTTATGACAGCTAGACGGATGGATTTGATCTGACCGTGACACTAGTCCCTCGTGCAAGGCCACAGAGGAGGTCTGCCAGGTCGGGGTGGAGACCATAGAGCTGATTTGCATCTTGAGCATAGAGCAGATTCTGAGTGCTGCCATCCGTCACTGCCAAACGCAGCTCTCTAGAGTCTGCACGTCCAATTCCTACCGCCAACACTGTCACACCTGAGGGACAGCGTTATTACAGCGCTAAGTCACTCTTATGGACATGGGACAGAGCAGCCGGGATGGTTTGTATTGTGAGTGTGTAAATTAATGCGCTGGGGCTGATTTTGTGTGGCTTACCATCGGCTCTAACAGCAGCAGCGGGCTGGCTAAGATCATCGGTTGACTTCTCGTCAGCGATAATGACAACCACCCCGGGAACACCATACCTACGACCTGCTTGCGTGCTCAGCAAAAACTGACGTGCGTATGTCATTGCCTGGCCTACACATAAAAGCAGAAAATATCAGCACACTCACATTCACATAATTAGGCCACTTAATGTCAAATATATACATGCTTGCAATTAAAACTTAAATATATGTAAATTGTAAAGGTTTCATATGTAATTTATTGTACTGGAAGTGTTTTTGGATGGTTTTAATACTATTGCACTACAGTAAGTAGGTCTGTAAGGGTACAATAAATTGTCTTAATTTTATTTAAGCAATATATACAGTATGCAATACATGTTTGTGTCAGCTTCACATACATATGACATATACTAGGTACTTAATGGTACACAAACATGAAAAAAAAAAAAACACAAACAGACCTATATTATTTCCTGGTCTGTCATTGAATGGGGTGGTCAAAATATCCCGCAGAACGGTCTCATTGTTGCTATGACGACTGAGGAGGAAGCGCACTTTTGGATTTTCACTGTACATCACCACCCCCATCTGGAGTAAACAGGTATTACAAGCACTTCATCCACACTGACCTGCTCAATGCCTCATGCAGAAGAGGGAACTCTCTCACAGCAATGTTTTTTTTTTTTCGGAGCCATAAAAGAATTGGAACAACATGACAATAGTACCAAAAGAACTTGACCTGGGAGTCTCTGGGTCCGATGGAGGTAAAGGATCTAGCAGAACTGGCAAGTAGAGACAACACAGGTCTCGCCAGAGCGATCACGAGACGCGGGGACAAGGAAGACAACATCCAAACGCCCTCCCACACACACTAAAACATGGATTTATTAAACATATTAAGCAAGGAATACAGCAGAAGATGAATTAGAACAATGTTGTAATTAATTTATTCATTTATGCAAACATTTATTCATATCAGCACCACAGACATAAACTCTTGATTTGTAAAAATAAAGTTGGTGCAAATCATCTATGGGAACGTTTATTACGGAATTACGTTCATTGCACATTGATAGTGTGAAAGTACGACATAATATCAAGCACTATGATCATCTGTCAGTCTCTGTAACTTCCCAAACGAAAATTGCTAGCAGAGAGAGCATGTAGTGAGAGAAAAATCTCCTGGTGACTGAACAGTATAATGGCATGTTATTCACTGTACTCACATTGCAAGCTGTAATTTGTCTTCAAAGTCAAAAGTACTGCATGAAATAATTCACACAAAAGGTTTTACCGGAAGAGTCAGATCTGTATTTTCTTTCTAAGACTAAAAAATAAATGGTAAATTAAATCTGTTATGTTTATGTATAAATGCATTTATATTAGGCTGTCAATTTAACGTGTCAATTTGATGTGATTACATTTGGAAAAATAACGCTTCAAAATTATTACTTTGCACCCTGCCCAGGCCCAGACCTGTATGTCATCTTAGATTGAACGCAGTTGCTGACAAACATGATGCAGGACCACGACTTACTGTGTAATTTAGCATATGAGGATGCAGTTATACAGTATGCCCCTAAAATTTAAGATATGAGGGCAAAAAAATCTTAATTTTATGTCATATGATATAGTTTAGCAACTACACAAACAAGATTGCTGTTATTCCACAAATATCTGCATGACTGCAAAAGCGATATCAATTTGATATAACAGCTCAATAACTTTAATTGTGTTCAATTTTAGACACAATATTGACAATATTGTTGTGCTCAATTTCGCAAACAAAAACAGTTCCAAACAAAAACACAGCAGAACTGTTGTGCCATTTCGAGCAACACGAAGTGTTCTTTCATTACTGAATGAATGCATGTTTTTGAATGAATCGAGTGAGCCAATGATTCAGTGACCAATTCATAAAGACAGTCACTTGCTTAGTTTCTGAATGAATCAGCCATTTTAACAATTCCATTTAATGAATGACTGAATGACTCACTTATTAAGACTCATTAAGTGAATTGCTGCCAGCTACTGGTAATTTTATTTTTATATTTAGAGAACCATTTCACTTAAAAAAAAAAAGATTCAATATTCATTTAAAGAAACATTAATACACATTTATTGTCATTATTTATGCAATGCTGAATCAAAATATTTATTTCTAAAGCTACTTTTTTTGTAATATCTATTCTATGCTTTTCTCATTTAAAACCAAAATGAAATTTAATTATCTATTGGGGGGTAGTTTTTCAGCCAAAATTGATGCGTGACTAATTTGTGATTAATTAATCAGCATATCATGTAATTAATTAAATAAAACAGCCCATTGTCTAAATAATAAAACAAGTACTTTCATTTGTTAAACTACCAATAATATAGTATATTTTGTTTAAATTATATTTAAAAAGTAGGCTACATGCACAGGGCATCTGGAGTCCTAACATGCGTTTTATGCTATTAACTTTAACAACCAGTTAATTAAATGTTCATTTAATTGTTTAATTTGAACAGATTAAAAAACCTATTTCAATTTGTCTATAGTTGGAAGAGAAAGAGAAAGAAACTGTGTAACCTGTGCGTTCCTCCACGCTGGTCTCAGGTCCAACCTGGTTTTGGAAGGTGGGCTGCACAGTGAAGCAGTACCGACGGCCCAATCATAGACCTATCACATGGTAAGAAGTGGCTGTACCAGGCAGCGTTTCAGACTGACCCATTTCTGTGTCTGAAGAAAAGTGCATTCAAACTATAATTGTGCTTCTGAACCTTAAACCACACACTTCCGGTTCCTAAACCTTTAGAAGTATCACCTTCTTCCTCTGTCCAGCGTAAAATATATCCTGTGGCTCCTGTTACTGGTGACCAGCCTAAAAGGACTGAATTCTCAGTACTGTCTGTCACACTCAAACCAGTCACAGGTGGCAGGGCATCTAAAAAAACAGAGACAGAAATAATGAATAAAAGAGGCTGGAGAATGACAGAGATAAAATGTGTCTTGTGTACCAGTGGTTGCTCTGATGGTGGTAGCTTCAGTCTCTTGACCGTCCACCACAGCAGACAATCTTACAGTGTAGCTCAGACCAGGACGAAGTCCATCGAGGGTGTACGAAGTTGCATCGGCACTAAATCTGATGACTTGATTCAGGTTCACCTAGTCAAAGCAAGCATAATAACATCATAATGTTAGCTGAGTCTGGTTTGTGTGTGTGAGTACATGTGTACCTGTATAACTATGTGTACCTTGTGAGGACCTCCAGTAGATTCGATATGAGCTGGCTCCACTCACTGCTCTCCAGGTTATACGGAGCCCCCCTGGGGTTGAGTCCAAAACACGCAAACCCTCTACTCTTGTCCCTCTCTGGCCCCCTATACAACAAACAGTGATATCAATGCACTTTCATAAGGCAACATCTCTATTAAAAACTTGGTCTGATCTTTAGCCAAGCCACAATGAAAGATAATCAAATAACACACAAACAATAAAATGTGTACGTGTCTTTATTTTGTGCACTGTGCAAATATTAATTCTGTGGAATAGAAATGTATGTAAATACTATAGATGGGTATTGACACAAATTTAACTATTTGATTAGATGTTCATTCATAGGCTTTTAATTTCAATTTATTTGATTCAACCTTTGCTTCTTTTGAATATATATCAGGAAGAATACGTTTAAATTTTTCTGAAGGAATAAAATCTCTCTCAACTTATAGTGTAAACTATACAGGGAACCCTGTCAGTTGGCACATTACTGTAAAATTAAAGGCTAAAATTAACAGCAGAGTCCAAACTATTAATTTCAATTACAATTTATCCTTAGATAAAACAAATAACACTCACAATAAAAACTGACTTGTATACAAATATTTAATTCAAATATTTACAGCCGTTTTTATAATAACTTTCTAATAGTATCTTTTTAATGAAATAATTATGCTTCTAATCCAATTAATTTTTTTAATATAAACATTTAAAGCTGAGACTTTGTTTCATAGTAACAAAGCACAATGTGAATTGTGATTTATTTGATGAGAAGCATGCTACAAATAATGTTTAGTGAAATTGTGTTGATGCATTAACAGAAAACAGCATAGACTAAAAGATTGTTGTTGGGATTTAAAAATCAATATCAGTTTATTAAAATGAGAATCCTTTAAAATTGAGAAATCGATATTGTAAAGCCAGCCCTAGAGAATACGGATTAATGACTTCTCCATGTAAGTAAATATGACTTGAAACAGAGAAACAAACAAACATCACATACAAACAACACTCACCAGTAGTGACTCTGACAGAGACAGGTGGGCCCTCTCTGTTCCGGACTAGAGCCAGGACCTTCACTTCATACTGTACCCCTTCATCCAACTGCCTCAGATCCACTGATGTCACGTTACCACCAACCAGCTGACTCCGCTCCTCTTCACCTACAAACGCACTCACAGTTTTATTTTTCTATGATGGATGAAGCTTTCTTTTGACTTCTATCGTCTACCTATCTAATGAGCTGTGACCTCTGGAGGTCACAAACCCTTGCATTTTTAGATTTTCAATAAGACAAATAAGAGAACTGAGATATCAAGGATGTCACTGGTGATTTTTCATTCCCACAGGAAATAACACTTGCACTCACCTATGTGAGCATTTACTTTGAAATCACTCTAAGATCTCACCATCAGTCCTCTTCCAGAGAATTCTGTATGATGTCGCATTTTGAACTCCAAACCAGCTGACTCGAACCACCTCTCCTTGGGCCTCCACCACCTGCAAATTGGTGACGCGACCCACCGTGGCCTGATCTGAAGGATAGAATGAGCAGAGTCAGCCATTCAGAAAAAAAAAACACTGAAATTAAACCTTCCTTACTGCTGAAAGCTCAGAAATGACTAATCTTTAAAGTCAGCATGAAACTGAAATTGCAATCTTCTTTTCTTCCTTGTTGTAACATATTTCCAAGCAAAACACCTTTTCGAAAGAAAATAAATGTACGGCGGGACTTGATGTTGTCCATCGTAAATTGATTAGATTGTAGGATCATTGTCATTTGCTAATTGCTGTAATCTCATGTGACTGACAGGTTGCTAGAGGGGAGGGACAATTGTCCAGCTCATCAGAGAAGTGATGTCATTGCAAGGGGGAAGGGAAATTAATGTTTTTGATTAAAAATTACAAGGAATTAAAAAAATGCATAGATAATTACTTTATAATAAACACTGCAATATTCCATAAAAAAACAAGAATTATCCATTTTAATTTCATGGTGATTTCAAGCAGTTTAAAGCTCCATGCATATGGCCAACTTATATATCAAAATACAAAAAGACAAAAACTACCTGTCCTTGCAGTCACAGTGGCAGCAGGTCCTTCCTGTGAGTTAAAAAGGGCTGAGACTAATATTTGGTAGGCTGCACCTTCCTGGAGTCTTATCAATGGCATAGGAAGCCACATCAGTGGGTACAATCTCAGAGTCTTCCACTCCTACAATATAAAAAGAAAAAAATAAATTAATTTACACATAAATGTATTGTACTAAAGTTAATGTTGTCCATACCGTCACTTCGCCACCAGGTGATTTTATAGCCTGTTGCTCGATTCACAGGAGTCCAGGTTATTACTATCCTTGCAGATGTTACTTCAATGACTCGTAGCCCTGTAACTATTCCAGTAGAACCACTGGTTCTTGTAGACACAGAGACCACTTCTTCAGTCTGCCCATCAATCACTGGGGCAACACCCACAACAACAGAATCATCTGGCTGCATTAACAGGTCTACATACTGTTGCTTTGTCTCCAGGTAACCCGGTAGCCTGTCGCCCCAGAAACACCAGTCCAAGTAATCCTGACTCATCGACTGTTGCTTCCAACTACCCGCAAGTTGGTCACCCGTAGTGGCAGTTCTGTTTAACATTCAGTTTCTATCAGTTATTTTCTGATATAATATATCCACATTATGTTACTCTACAGAGTATCTTTAGTAGCATCTATTTTTATAGGAACCTGATATACTGACAACTTAAAAAACACAACCTCACTTGCACATAAGTATGAATGCACACACCTGTTTTGATGTACACTGTTGCTGGTTCCCCTTCATCGGATCCAATTAGTGCCTTTACACTGACAGCATAGCGTGCACCATCTTCGAGGTCCCCTAGGTCAAAGTTGGTCTGATTCCCAGGAACTCTTCTGTTCACCTCTGCATTTGCTGTAAAAGATGGGTAAACCAATTCAAACAATCATTATAGCGGCACATCTCTTTAATGAAAATCTCATGAATGTATATATGTGACCCTGGACCACAAAACCAGTCATAAGTAGCAGAGGTGTATTTGTAGCAATAGCCAACAATACATTGTATGGGTCAAAATTATCGATTTGTCTTTTATGCCAAAAATCATTAGGATATTAAGTAAAGATCATGCTCTATGAAGATATTTTGTAAATTTCCTACCGTAAACATATCAAAACTTAATTTTTGATTAGTAATATGCATTGCTAAGAACTTCATTTGGACAACTTTAAAGG